ATTTTTTTTTAAAGATTATTTATTTCAGAGAGCGAGAGTGCATGGGGGAGGGGCAGAGGGAGAGGGAGAGAGAGAGAGAGAGAGAGACTGACTCCTGAAGCAGACTCCCTGCTGAGCATGGAGCCCAGTTTGGGGCTCAATCCCAGGACCTGAGATGACGACCTGAGCCGAAATCAAGAGTCGGACGCTTAACCGACTGAGCCTCCCGGGCGCCCCACGTTAAGTGGATTATTAAGATTAACATTGACTATGGTTGCCCTCAGCTGTCCTCCATTGCAGAGCTTCTTCTCTCAGCTGTAGCAGCTTCTTGGGAGATGTTCATCTTTAAAGGACCATGCTGACTCGCCTCCTCTGGCTGGGGAAATAGGAAAATCCACAATGCCTGTGTAGGAATCTGTAGCAGTTGATATCTAAGACAGGAGGATAGAAGGGCTGCCTGAGAAACGCACACTACCGGCAGGGACAACAAGAGTTATCTCGATGCAAAATAGGCAAAATAAGGGAAACTGCTCTGCTTTTCTTAAAGGTGTTGGTAAGCCACGTGGCCGTTCTGCCTGCAGCCCATCCATTGAGTGTTCCACCACAACTGGTAGCTATAATTAACCGAAAAGGCTGAAAATCAGCTTAGTTCAAAACTTCCATGTGAAGTGATTAAGTGGGCTTGATCAAGAATGCATGTTTGGGACGCCTGGTGGGCTCATTCGGTTAAGCGTCTGACTTTTGATTTCAGCTTCAGGTCATGATCACAGGGTTGCGAGATCGAGCCCTGCGTTGGGCTCCGTGCTGGGTGTGGAGCCTGCTTAAGATTCTCTCCCTCTCCCGCTCCCCCTCCCCTCAAAACAAAATACATGTTAATTTTGTACAACTATTCCAGAGGAAGCCTATCTTGATTGTGCTGGAATTCTTTCCAAAGTGGCTTCAAATGTTTTTTGTGTCAATCTCTAGCTTCTGCTGCTATCTGCTAGCTATTTACAGCAGAGATCCAGCTACTTCTGTTCATGATAGTAGATCTGCATCTGAGTTTAAAGACCTTGTCAGTAGGCATTGTAACTAGGCTGCCAGCCCTTAAGCCTTGATAAAGAATTCCCGCTGAATGGATCGTATTGGCAGCTGAGCGCTGCCTAACGTGGACCGAGGGAACAAACCACACCCAGTAAGCTGTCTACGTGCCCACAGCTGGAGTCAGCTGTGACTGCTCAATATTAATTGGGGTACTATCTCACGATAAATGTCTTTAGGTAAACTTAAGCATTTATAAGATCAACTTGCATCTTGAAATAGTTATCGTTCGTTGACTGCCTACCATGTACCAGGTTCTGTGTTAAGATCTTTGTATATATTATATTTAAATTCTCATAAAAACGTGTAATAACACCTACTGACACATTAAACCATCACTACCCGACAGGCTACATTGACAGCTTTGCATACACATCTCAACCCTATTGCTATTATTCTTTGACAAAATTGGAAACGACCATAGAGTGGGAAACATGAACTTGTCACATTGTCAGGGACAGAGATGGCCCTCTAGAGCTTGTGCTTCTAGCCACTTCACAGAAATGCCTTGCTGTAAGACAGCTGGACTGATTGCCATCATTTTATCACCGAGGGAACTGCATGAAACTTGTTCAAGGCCACGTTAGAAAATGGTAAAAAGCATGATGGGTGTATCTCTCTCCAACCCTGGGCCAGATTTGCCAGTTCACCCGTGGCTTTCCTGTTCTAGACAGCTGTTTATATGTTCTTTGATAGTTCGCATGTAAGGTTTAAATGTTTCTTAGAAATTATAGAGGGGGAAAAAACGGGGGTTTCTGCTACTATAAATGAAGTAATGGAAACTGAATTATGCAACATTGAGCCTTAAGATGGGCCAGCAAGTCATTCCTACCGAAATCAGCTGAGAAACTTCTCCCTAAAGGGAGGCTTGATCCTGGCAGAGCCAAAGAACATTTCTTTGGGATTACATACTTCTCTTTATACTGTTCTGGATTTCCTAAATTTTCTACGATGAAAATGCTTTTTAAAGTAAATGTTCACAGGTAATGCTGAATACATTCTCATGATAAACATTCAACTACACAAAGCCCTTCCCTTAAATGCTTACCTTCCACTCCCCCTCGTCTAGACTCCTTTCCAGAGGTAATCACAATTTAGAAGTTTGTATGAATTCCTTTGCATGATAGACCTGCACAGTCCTATAAGGAAATCACTACCCATACGTGGCTATTGACTACTTGAAATGTCCTAGTTCAAAGTGAAGTGTGCTTGTAAGCATAAAATACACATGAGATTAAAAGACCAAATATGAAAAGGGTGTAAAATATCTCATATAATTTTTATACTGACTGCATGTTGAAATGACAATATTTGGGATGTATTGGGTTAAAGAATTAAAAATAAATAAATAAAATACAGTATTAGATTAATTTCATGTTTCTCTTTGCCTTTTTAAATATAGGTACTAGAAAATGTGCCTTACATTATATTGGTATCAGCCAGCACTGCTCTGGAGTGTAGATCATTTTTAATATGTTTACACACTTATTTATATAAAAGATATATTTTTTTGTGCTTTCTAACATAAATATGCGTTACTTTTATACTTGGACTAAAACTTTTTTAAAAGTATAACCTTTAAATGCATTGATCATTACATTAATTCCGTTCTTCCTTCCTTTCTCTTCCTCTTCCCCACCCCACCATCACCTCCAATGCACACTCTTCTTGACAACTGACAAAGCCTCAGAGTGAAGAAAGTAATAAGTATTCTTGGCCATACAAATGTTGAAGTGAGCACACCTAACAATTGGATTACTCCAACCCAGGCACAGATTAACAAAAAGTATCTCCTTTTTGGATAAAAGAAAGTGCTAGTCAATGGAAGAAGGCTTTGGAGTTAGTGGGTCCTAGACAAAAGACATAGGAAATAGCTACAGTTGCCAAAAATGACTACCAGTTATTTTTAAAGAACTAGATCCAAATTTGCTATTCTCATCATGTCATCTGTTCCTCTCAGATTTTTTTTTCATTTTCAGAAAGCATAGTTCCATTACTTTATGTTGGGTGACTACCACTAACTCCTTTTTCCTTGATCAATATTGTCTATAAAGCGCCACCTCAGTTCAGCTACTGAATCTTGATCGTTGTCAGAAATAAATGCTGACATGCCTGACCAAGTCTGACTCGTTGAAGGTTATAAGGTACCGAAATTTTTTGTGTTGTCTAAGTGAATACCTAAAAATGAGTCCAGTTCAGTGGATTCTGCAAAGGAAATGACCCCAAACAAGTGCCTATTCTCCCCCCACTTAAAAACTGCCTGCCTGCATATACATAAATAGTTGACACACAGCACACTCCTGTCAGTGAGCTGGGACCATGTACACATACTCTTGTGTTAAGCTGGAAAGGTATTTCCTGTGTTCTAGCAAGGCCTTAATGCAAGCAACACTTTTAGTAGCTCTTACTTGGCCTCAGTGTGGAACCTCCTTGAGGGCAGAGGAGAGACAACATTAGGCATGAGCAGGGGTGCTGTGATGACTCACTATTCTCATTCCCATGAGTGCTCCTTGGTGCTCTGTCCCATTTGCGTCCCTCCGGTTACATGCTGCCTTGATAAAGGACCGCAGTTGAATACCTGTTTTCCTTTGCCCCCTCCTTGCTGCCCTGACAAGCTTCCCAAGGACAAAAAGGAGGCCGGGGAGGAGGAGGAGCTCCACAATTTTCTTCTAGTTGGTAACTCTCCCAGTCTAATAAATCAAAATTTCCTTGAACAGATTTCACTGGGAGCTGCTCCATTTCAATAGGACATTCGAAAAGTGTTTCTTCTCTTTTCTTCCTATTCCTCACCACCTTTTTCCTTCACTCAAGGAAATAGAAAACAAAACAAAGACTAGGGCAATGCAAGGTTTTTCAATTTTTATTAAAGTGCCGAATATCACCCCAATTAAGGCAACCTTCTGAAACTTAAAAAAAAAAAATTCTCCCTTAATTAGGATGGACTTCATCTGAGTGGCTACCATCTGCTGAAGCAGCCCAACCCTGTCCTCCTTGGGTCTTGGCAGCTACAGGTGAGTCGGGTCCCCTTCTCCTTTCCCACACCCCTGCTCAAGAAGCTGCCAGGGAGCTCTCAAGCAGTATCAGCAGGGAGGAAGTGGGGTGGGAGCGAGGGGGGTCTCCACCCATTAGCAGCTGTTTAAATAGTAGGCAGGGGAACTATTCTACAGAGAACTTCAGGTCAGCAGATACTCCAAAGCAATTTATACCACATGCTACCCAGTTGTGGAATTAAAATGCTGAGGAAGGAAGGACCTAGCATGCCAATCTCCTTATTTTCTCCTTTACCTGGTGCTTGGCACCCCAAAGAATAAAACAACAGTTGGACTTGGTGGTTTAAAGGGAATTATTAGGCAACTGGGAGGAAGTGAAGGCAGCTGTCTTCATGGAACATCATGTACCAGTGACTAAATGTCAGGACCCATCATTGTCCAAGTAGTGATGTCTACACAGGTTTAGTAACTTGCTTCATTCAGATTAAACCAAAAGACAAGCTTGACAGATTATCAGAATCTTTGGGGGAGGGCGGTGGGTGGAGTGGAGAAAGGAGTATGGCAATTTTAAAAAATGACTTCATAATTTTTTTTTAAAGCACAATATTATCACCTCTGTGGTTTCTCTTCAGTTTCTTCTAGCATAATGTGAAATAGAAGTCTTGCCAAAAGTAGGGGAAACATTTCCAAATAAGTCCTTATAGATTACATTCCAAATCTAAAATAAAAACTTGTAAACATGCGTTTGCCCATCAGACTTTAGAACATTTTTGTTCACGCTTCCCTTGTGGAAGAAATTGACTTTTTCTTATGCTACTTCCTTAACAATAATTTGCTATGGTTTTAACAAATGACTAAGAGCTGAGTTCATAATTATATATATAGCATAAACATATATTGAAAACAATTCTTTTACATTCCCTCACCAATAGGAAAACATTAAATGATTACCTCTGTAAATTTGTTCCGATTCGCTTGCAAGCCAACTTTTACTACCTCAAAAGGGTTAACCACGATAGCTTCTGTTAGTCCAGATCCTAATCCAGCAATGGCAAACGTCTAGAAAAGTTCAATCAATCAATAATTTAAAACAAGTTACGTATACTGAGTTAAACATCCTACTCATTACACTCTGCAGCTGAATGTTAGGTGGAGAATGGAGGAACGTATATAAATGCACCATATACCATTACTAAACAGCTTTAGTTCTTGATTAGATGCTGACAATTCATGAAGAAGAAATTACAGAAGCCACAAACCACATCCTAACAATTCAAAATAAAATGTCAAAGCCCCATCAACAATGACTTTTTCGTTTAATGAAAAGAAAGGTTGTTTTAGTGATTTAAGGTGGATACTAAAATGTCTGCACATGTAACAATTAAGAGTTTGACTTATAAAAGGAGAGCCTCGTTTTTAAAACATCTACAAAAATTCAAGAACCAAAAATAAAATGTTTATAAAAAGCTAAATTTCAGATAACCAAACAGTGCAGCTGAAAACTTTCAAATGTATATAGCCCTGTTGTTAGAGTCACTATTCTAGACAATTGACAAACAAAAAAATTTTTTTTTATTCATCCTTTCCCTATTTAAAAAAATCCCGCATAACTGCCCTATTCTTCTAGACATAGAAAATGGGGAATAAAAGTTGAGATCAGAAATGGCAAGGTTGTTCTGAAGGGCTCAGTTAAAATCTAGAACATCTCTCAAAAGATGATGTCAGGTTCTGATTTGCTCTCAGTTAAGAGCTTCTGCAATAAGGAACTACAACTTTCTCAACTTTTCCTCAAAGTAGAATGTTTAAGGGTTTTCCAGAAAACCTGTATCAAAAATAACCACAACAATTAACACACACACACACACTCACACACACACACACACCAGAAAAACAAAATGAAACAGAGCCTCAAATTTCCAAAACAGATGCTGGAAAAAAGTAGTTCTTTAGTGCTAAAGCTCTAATTCCAGGAGAAGAGGGAACTCTATATACAGCCACAAGAAGAAAAAAGCCAATGAAGAATAAAGAGCAGATAACTCTTACTAGGAGTCTCTAATTTCTTCAAAGTAGACTAAAAGAGAAAAGAGAAAGGAATATTCCCTAACCTTGGAAGAAAAAAGGCAAGGTAGAACAAGGGAGGATCTAGAGGGAGGTCTGGATTCAGGTCCTGGTTCTGCCACTTCTTGGCTGTGTGACTGGGGCTGCCATGTGCATTAGTTTGTGCACAGTTTGTGTGTGTGTGTGTGTGTGTGTGTGTGTAGGCTGAGGTCCCGCCTGCACCCCACTTGTCAAGCTGGAGCCCTGCAGAGGCACCCGCCAGGGGAAAGGGCAACTTTGCATAATTCACACAAAGGCACCACATGTGCGAGCTGCAACTCTGTGGCTAAATCACTCAGCCTTTTATAAGCCACAGTTTCCTCATCTGTAAAATGGAACAATGATCTAATCTCCCTACCTCATATGAGGATCAAAACAACGTGTGAAGACCTTTATAAAGTGCTTTACAAAAACCATTGGTCCTGTCGCACATAAAAATGCAGAGGAATAATGGGATAGTATACGGATTGAAGGAGAGGGAATAATTCATCATGTTTTCCTTTCATGCCCCTTCATTATGATTTTAAACACATTTGCATAGGGTAACAGACCAAATATTTTATTCATTTATCTCAGACTTCCATCATGGAAGCCAAAACATGTGTGTGTGCACACGTGTGTACACACACACACACACACACGTCCAAAACTCTTCTGACTGGGAAAGCTAAAATCCAGATGTTCAGGTTTTTATTACTTACTATATGCAATCTTCCAAGTAATTCACTTTTTTGTTCTTCTATAAAACTCAGCTATGTTTGCTGTCAGAACTAGTGTTCACCAGTCCCTTGTCAAAAGAATTGATCAGCTATCAGCAGATCACGTTACTTAGATGATTCCAGAGACGAGCGGTAACAGTGGGGTTCCCAGCCTCCTAGGCTTTTCATGTGCCAGCACCAGGGGACATTTAAGGGCTGTTTAAGTGTCTAGCTGTATCAAAAAGAAACTGGAATAAATGAGTTCAAGGAAAGAGAACAACTGTCTACAGTTTGCATGCATTCAGTTAGAGTAGCTGGAGTGGCCAAATGCATTTCTGTTTTAATTCTCACGAGTCCAAAAGCCTGCAGCCTCTCACATGGTACCAATGCTCGACACAGGAACAGCCAGCTGGGCCTCTGGAGACCATATTTTATTGTCTTTTGCTAGGAAGTTTTTAATCCTCTCTTAACCAAGATGTTTTCAAAGTTGAGAATGACATTAAGAGAAGACAGCGAGGCATTAAAAAAAAAAAATCTGAGCTAATATTAGGACCCATGCTGCCACTTCTACCATACAAGGCTATTTTGCAGTCACCTTGTTTAGGCAGGAGTCTGAGAGAGAAGTTTCTTAGCAGGATCCTTCCTAGAGAAGGGGCATGTATGGTTTAAAAAATAACATATTTCTTCTTGGACAGTCTATTGGGCAGAGTAAATATTCTGAAGTGAACCTTTAAAAGTTAAGTAATGGAAGAGCTGAAGCTCAGAACACTGCCTCTCTGGTTGAGTTTTGAGGCCCATTGCAGCAGGTAAACCGGAGGACGTTTCTAGGGGCTGGGAGGCCCGCTGTCAGTTGGAAGGCCAATGTGTCATTTGTTTTGCTTTGTTTTGTTTTTCAGATTTGGAGGGAGAAATCAGTGCACTTTCTCTCTCTCTCGGGCTCTTGTTGCACACATACTTGTAGAAGCCATCTGGCCACTCTAATTTGTCTTGTGAAAAGCAGCAGTCGCCAAGAAGGAGAAGAGAGGCACTGAGCCATGTTCACATCACCATGTGATTTCCATGTAACAGCTGAGATGTGTTATTGTAGCATCGCTGTTCTCCTCAGCCACTAAACGTCCTTCAGTCTGCATCTGCCTACAGTGTGACCTGAAGTCCCGTATTTCCTACAGCTTGAGCAAAAGCTGGAAAAGTGACCTGTTAGGAAATGTTTTAGGCATACTGACTTTTGCATAAACAGATATGCGCAGTACGTAGTATGTAAACATATGCATGTTTTGGCTTTCACAGAATCTTTGACAAATGTACTCTTTATTTTATATTCTTGACCATATCTCATATGGGTCTTTCCACACATATCACTGTTATCATAAATTCATCACTGGGAGCTATAAAATAGCCAAATTGTGTGTTATTAGGAAGATGGCTTTCAACAAGTAGCTGGACATTGAATAACTTGAATTCATATTTTAGTAGTTGGGCTTGGGGAATCAAAAGGGTTTTTGTTTCCAGATTTCGGTTTATGAAATAACTCACACACTTAAGTATAATAAATACTCTCACTTACCAATGCTGGCGACAGTGACACATATCCTAGCAATTTCTTGTACTGCTCAAAGGTGAAAAACTGTGAAACAAAACCAAACCCAGAGATTTATAACAATTTCCTGCAACAAACCCTTTAACTGACTCAAATTTCTTTAGTAAATCATAATATTAACCAGCATTTTAGAAAAATGATAAACCATCGAACACAGTTTTTAATCTGGTCTCGGGTAGTTGCTTAGTGGGCCTTACTTGAACGTTCACATTTTCAAATGCAACTATAATAACCTACAGAAGAGCTGATGGAATCCTTTATAGCAGTAAATGAACCATACAGCTTCCATTTACCATGACCATTTTCAGTTTCCCCAGACATCAATAGACTTCTTTTTTATGGCAGTGATTCAAAATTATAGGCAGAGAGACCCAAAATCTCTGGTCCCCTATGTTTTCTCTGTGAACTGCTTTCCCAGTGAATGCCCAGTTTTCTAACCCACTTGTAAAAGACACGCCCTTCTCATCTTTAACTTGCACATATACTTTTGTATCTCCATTGTTTCATGGAGTTTCTAAACACTCACTGATGATGAAGGTGCCATGGTTAAACAGAGAAGGACCCAATGAGGTCATCTAGTCCGTCCTGACTTAAAGCAAGACTGTCTTCAACCTTTCTCCTTTCACGAAGAAAGAGAGCTGCTTGTTCCTTCCTTTAACATCTGATGAAGATTTTGTAGGTTCCTTTCATGAGGTAACATTTCATATAATTTTCTCTGCAAATAAATTTCTATGGAGGCAAATCTCATCAGACGTCATGTAATGTGCCCCAAATACATCTCTCTCCTCTCTTTCTGTACTCTGTATTTTGGGAAACAATTCTGCTTGATCATGATGTTTTGCACCTGGGTGCTCTGTTAGTAGAAGCTGCCAATGTCATTGATAAGGCACAATCTTAGGTCCTGCTAGGGCCTGATTTTTAAGGCCCCAGAAAAGGCATGGGTACTTTATGGTCTCAAATGTCTTCTACTCTATTACTTTATAACTCAATAAGAGGGGGGAAGAAAAAAAGCAGATTTGGGGATCAAATAATACTCTGTTGTTAGAGGTAGTTCTAAGTAGACATGGCTCTATGAGTCTTTTTTTTTTAAGATTTTATTTATTTATTTGAGAGAGAGAATGAGATAGAGAGAGCATGAGAGGGGGGAGGGTCAGAGGGAGAAGCAGAGCAGGGAGCCCGACGTGGGACTTGATTCCGGGACTCCAGGATCATGACCTGAGCTGAAGGCGACTGCCTTCGGTACGCGTATCTGTTTATGCCAACCAACTGAGCCACCCAGGTGACCATGGCTCTATGAGTCTTTGGGCAGAGATTTTGATTCTTTTAAAGACCCAGGAATAACTTTTGTGCCGTGCTTCTTTAACTCAACTACAGATGTAGACTTTTCTAGATCAGGGATTCATTCACTTACTCATTCAATAAATATTTATTGGATGCCTCCTGCAGCAGTGAACAAAGAGAAACCCCTGCCTCCTTGATCTAACATTCTAGTGGATGGTGTTAACTCTGAAACTCTCCTGGTGTTAAAAAAAAATAGCACCAGTGGCCACCACCGTTTTGGTGAAACCATTAACCATGGAAGGAAAAGTGTTACTGTCTTAGGCTTTACAGATAAGTTTTTTTTTCTTCATTTTTATGGTCACTATCACCACTATTCTTTGACAATCACCTTGCTAGGGTTTTGATGGGAGCAATCCTGGGACTGAATCCTGGCTATGCTACTTAGCTGTGAAAGCCTGGGCAAGTCACCTGACCTTTCCAGCCCTCAAGAACACAAAACTTACCTTCTAAAATATTCCTTAAATAACAGAATTTAAGTAAGATTTTCTGACATGCCTGACACAGATAGGACTTTGAGAAAATCTTAGTTTTCATTCTCTTTCTTCACTTTGGGCTAAGAGAGGAACCACAGTTACTTGTATCCCTCACGATAGCTTGAGGTGGTCCAGAAAACATGCTAAGGCCTTTGCAGGTGCTACTGCACTGAGTCCATACAACGCCATCAAACCACAGGTTATAGTACAATCAGGATTCTCATTTTGTGGATCCATATCCTGCAGTTAGTGAGTAGAAGGACTGACTGCAAAGCCTGTGTATGCTCTTAACCATGACATATGCTTGCTCACTGCTGAGCCATGACTGTTAACAGTTTGGGATTCTCTGCCCTAGAGTTTTCTTGCTGCTGAGGTCTTCTTGCCTTCCCTGACTTTGGAAGCCCAGAGTCCCTCAAGGCAGAAGGTTTCAAACCTTTTGGAGCACAATCTATGTAAAAAGTATTGACATAACACACACACGCATGCACACAGGCATGAATGCAGTGTACCCTTGTACTTATTTATAACTGAAACAAAACATTGCTGTAAAACAGTGTTTCCCCCCTCACTATGTGTAATGCACTATGTTTCTATTCTGTTTCGTGAAAAACATTCTGGTCATGACCCATTACATCTAGTGACCCACTTAATTGATTTTATGACTCATAGGTCATGACCTACATTTGGAAACACTGAATACTGAGTTCAGGGAAGTTCTGGGATGGATGGACCTCACAAAAGGCCTCACTACCTTGTTCTCTTCCAGTGTGAGGATGCGGTTTTGATTTTTGTTTTTCTTTATTTCTGACTTTCTGTAGTTACAAGGGATTAAGGACCAAACTGGGATCTCAAGGGAGAAGTCTGGGGACAGGCACTTGGCCTGTCATTGTAGCAATTCTCACAGTGAATTCCAAGTCAATGTGTTGGGGCAATTCTAGGCTTTTCTCCTATTCCATCTCTAAAATTGTGAGAAAACCAAACTACTATTAGCTGACTGGTACTCATCAGCAGTGTTGTTGGAGGCTTTTGGCGAATGCCTAGGATGAAATGATTCAGGTTCCTGGGAATAAAGAAGCCCCATAAGTCACAGTGATGAACTGTTAGTGTACTGAATTCAAAAGTCATGAAAAATATTATCATCATATATTCCAATAAGCAAATAGTGCTTCAAATAAATAAGACACTATCTTAAAGAAGGAAAAGGTAAAGTCTTTTAAAATGGAGTTTCAGTAATAGTAAAATAATGTAAATGCCATCATTCTAGTTTGAAACCAATATTTACTAAAAAATATTCATTCATTCAACAAATATTTACTGAATGTCTCCCATGTTCAAAGCTTAGAAGACATTATATCAGAACTATATTCTTAAGCATGAGTAGATGAGCTGTTATTTTAATTCCTCTCTGTACAACACTACTCCTTTATGGCTTACATGATATTTCTCAGTAGTTTCTCATCCACAACACTAATCAATGCATAGATGTGAGATAAGCACCCTATCATATGAGATACGAAGTTACACTCTAAGGATAAAATTGGGAGGCTCAACATGTAATAAAGCTGCCTCCCCAAAGTCATACTTAAGATATGTGACTAAAGAGTTTTGAAAACATTCATATTCAATCAAGGTTTTGGGAATCCTGAATATAAAATCTGGAATCCAAATGAACTGTGCCATATATAACCTATCTACTGGAATCTAGAAATTGGCTGTTTCACCTAGGGAGAGGGGCTGCCCCAGGAGGACCAGCCTTGTGGTCTCTGGAGAAGTGTCAGGCTGTGGTTAGGCGGGGGAGGTCAGTACAGTTTGTCTGGGTGACACCTGGGTGCAGGTACTATTCCTGGCCCCACGTGCTTGCTAAGCACTGTTCCCCCGAATGCTCTGGACAGCTCTTTCCCAGGCCTTGCTAGTTTCCTCACGTGCACGCACTCGGTTCTCAGCTGAATATCTACGGGGTCCCTCTGAAGAGCTTAGGAGCTGTCTCTCTGTGCAGCTTTCCCTTATCCGGTACCTCTGTCCTGTGAACTCTAGCTGCCTTGCCCTCCCCAGCCTGTCAGCTCCGTCTCAACCCAGGGAGTACACTGGGCTCTGCTTACATTTCCCCTGTGTGCCCGGGGTCTGGAAAAACCTCTCAAGGCAGCGAGTTGGGGGCAAACCATAGAGCTCTTCTCATTTGTTCCCTGTCCTTGCCCTTCCTTGTCTGATGTCCAGTGTCCTGAAAATTGTGGTTTCATATATTTTGTTCATTTTTGTTGTTGCCGTTTCAGGCAGGAGAGTAAATCTGGTCTCTGTTACTCTATCTTGGCTGGAAATGGAAGTCTTGGTTTTCTAGAAACTGAATAGTAGATGTGAGAATTTTGGGGACTAGGATAGGAGTGTCTCCTGTGATAAATCAGTACACTTTCTTTCTGTTTCTTTCTCTATGTTTCATTTGTGCATCTAACATTGATTGAGCATCTAGTGTGTGCAGACACAATGACAGGTGTAGGGAGGGTGGTGAATAGCCTTCACAATTCCTACTCTCTCGTGCATCTGGTTAGCATCAGGCAGTCCTGGAGAGTCTGTCCATGGAAAAAGGCTGTTTTTGGACCTGTGAGTCTCAAGACCAGACCCAGGAACCTTGCTTGAAAGTGGTGCCTCCCATGTCTGAAGGGCCAGTTGGTCTCTTTCTGAGGTCTTTATTTCCTTTTGCTAACTGCAATACTAATTCTGTCTTAATCTGTGAAGGGGGAAGTTTCATTTATTTAGCATCGATGAGTCTTATTTTAATGATGAATCTCATTTCAAAGAATACAGTGCAGAAAAACTTGACATTGTCTGTTTCTGATTATAATAATGATTGTGATTGAAGTGTCAGTACTAAGGAATACACACACACACACACACATATATTCACATATATTCATGTATATGTATGTATGTGTGGGTATATTTATACATACACATATATATGGTCTCTGAATATTTTTTCTGAAGTAAACTTTGATGCCATACAACGAAGCACTTTATGATGAATGAAATTGTTACAATCAGATGATCACTTTCCTCACAAATTCTAAGATAAATATCTATAAAATTTTCTATGAATATTTTCATAAATTGTATTGAAAAACTAGTGCTATCCATCTGGCAAAGATACACTTAACTTCAAGTTATACTTAAAAAGCCAATGCACTTACCATATGTCTCAATAATTTTAAGGTAAAATCAACTTGAAACAAGATGTCTGGGACGCATACACCATATCCAGTTGCCCAAAAGTTCATCTGTTAACCATTGCTCTGGCAGCGAGCATTGCTTTTTTCTTAAGTAGAGACTAACTCAGTTTTGTAAAGCTCAACTTTTTTTTTTCCTTACATAAAAGACTGTTCAACACTGATAAACTTTAATCCTCTTCAAATTTAAATGAAATTGTCTCCAATGTATAGTATTAAGGAAAAATATTCCAGGAAAAACTTTAATTATAACTTACTCCATTTATCCGTGTAAAACACTGAACAAATGAATATATTATTCCACGGAGACAAAGTGACTTTCCTTTTGAAAAGGAACCCTGCTCTGTTTGTTTACTTGGGCAATCTTTTATCAAGTGAGGCCATTTCATAATTCAATTCAGCCCTCTTGTGTACTTTGGTGAACTTTTTCCAGATTCTCTACTGTGATTCAGATCCTTATAATGAAATTTGTATTGAAGTAATAATATAAAATCACAAAAACTATGGCAACAAAGGGGATGAATTTATAGAGAAAGTATGTTTTAAAGCTTTGTTTTCTGAATTCTAGACCTGAATCAAATCCTATTAAATTACCATTTTGACATAATGTAAAAGTATGGTGTCTGTGCATGTTGGTTATTTTATCATAAAATTTAACTTAGTCTAGCTCTTAACTTACTGAGCAAAAGTATAGAAATTGTCCCATCTTACTTCTCAGGAATATTGGGAATACAAATTGAGTAAAGTATCTGAAAAAAGCTTTATGTCATTAGTTGGAAAGGAAGTCTTTTGGTCTAAGTGTATGTTATCCTTCTAATGGAAAGACAAAGCCATATTTGGTGAAGTCAGTGGTGTGGGGGAGGGGGCACTGACAGCCAGAGTCACTGTGATCAGGACTTCTGTTCGAGAGAACATAGAAAAGAGTGATCAGATTTAGTTCTTTCTTCCCTGGAGGTCCTGCCAGATCTCTGTGTTCCTATCCAGATACTGAACCAGCAAGTAGTACATAAACTCCCATAGTTATGTGGTTAAAGAATGGAAATCAGCATAGTGGAAGTAATAATTTTGTAAAAACCAGAGTAGAGAATTTTAACAGAGGAGACCGGGGTGGAGGGGCTAGGGAAGGAAATGAAGTTAGCATTCCAAGTAAATGTGTTATATGAGAATCATATACAAAGAAATACAGTGTATTTTTGTTTGCTCTGTTCATAAAATGGAACTGATTTAGGGAAACAGTTTTTTCTGCCACTCTTCCCTTATCTCCTCTCCCTCTCTCTTTAATAATTATTGCTACCAAGGAAAATTGATGAACTGCTTTGAGAAAAAGGTCCAAGTTATTTTGTGGCTGCTGTGGTTCAATTACATGAATTTCATTCACTACTGTACTTTTTGTATAATCTCCTCATTAGAAGGGAGTGCCTTTACCTGAAAAAAAAATCCATAAACCAATATTTGAGAGAGTGACCTGGCTTAAGTATAATAAAATTATGCTATAATTTCCACATTAAATTTTTCACTCTCTTATCTTCAATTCACATTAACGTCCCATAGTTTGTTGTGGGATGTTTTAGGGGTGAAGTTGTTACTGCAGTCTATTTTCACTTGGTGGAAAGGTATACAATGCTTACCTTCACTGCTCTTTTTGGTGTTTCAGCCAAGATTGGTGGCAGAATCCCCTTGTAAAAACCAAACAATCTATTGGAGAAATAAAAGATTTTATGTAAAGGATTCAGGAAACAGGTAATTCTGCTTTTGTTTATAGATAAAGCAACTAATCTTAAAGTATCCCCAATTATTCAATGTACCACACCAATCATGAAGTCCTCCTTTGTTTTAATTCTAAAGTGCAGAGATTATGAATTTCACAATTATTAGCACTATGAAATTCAGAAGAATAAATGGCACCAAGACTGGAATCCCCTGGGTACATTGCTAACCACAACAATGAGTTATACCTAAAGAATGAACTTGACCTTCCTCACTCTAAGGGATCTTGAATTTATTTTCTCAGTTGTATGGTAGGTAGCTTCAAGCTGTCCACAGTTTTGCACTTCCTCCCTTGTTGCCAAATGAGGTTAGGGTTAGACCTGAGCCCACAGACTGGAACTTTCTTGCTAACAAGGGGCACAAATCCTTAGTTTCAGCTCTACTAACACAAAGACACTAACAAGCTCTATGACTATGGAAACTGAGCTCCCAGCCCTGTCCTGAGTTAGTAATGATTTTTTTTTTAACTTCGTTGATGGAGATAGAAGGTCAGGGACATATGTTGCTGGCAGAAGAAATGTCAAACTTCCTTGCTGATACGCAGTCTTACAGGGCCTGAGATGACTGTCAATGCCAATGTTGAGGGACTTGTCACATACTCAAATGTTTTTAGAAACAAAAACAAAACAAAAAACAAAACTGAGAACGAGTGCCATATGCTTATGATAAGGTTCATAAAATGTCACCACTTATTTCATATTAGATTTTAAGATTCAAAATTTTAAATTTGTCCACCCTGTTCCGGATGAACCCATAAATGACTACAGAAAAAGGCAGGACTCAAGGTGTTTGTATTTTAGGATGTCCGTTTAACATGGAGCTGGGGCTTCTCTGACTGACCCCTCAAGCTTCACTCCAACTTCCTCAAATTGGGTTCTGCTTCTAGAACAAGTTAAGAATTTATATACACTAATCCACTGTGCCACCCAATCCAACGTGGTGATCTCCTGCTCTTCCTTGATTGACTGGCTTACAAAGCACACTTCAGTTAGGGAAGCAAAGTGTTTGTTTTATAGTTTCTAAATTGTTGGCTCCTTGAGGGCTAAGTGTGCATTAGTGTGCTTACCCCAGAGTCTTCTCTGTGTGTGGATATGTAACCAGGACACAAACATTTGTTACGCATGTTGATTTCACAAAGGGGAAGAAAGGAATCAAATGATCCCCTGATATGGGCTTCCTCTACCCAGTACTTTTGACTTAATGGATAGTGCTAGCAGACATATGATTTGAAGAATTATGGGAATTCATGCTCCCACCTCCTTTCCATTCCAATTTCAACTACTAATGCCTGAAATTCACTTATAAAATTCAAATACCACCACTCTTTATCATTTACATTTCATTATAAATTAATCATTACATAATTTTCAGCATAAGAGTGACTAAGCATAGGCTCGGTCTTCCCAGAAGATAAATGTGATTATCTGAATAGAAGTTCTATATTTATAATGAAAGATTTATTAGTTCTGTTCTTTCTGTGCTGATTTTTCCATATCTGGACGATTATGTCTGGTTTTTGGGGAAAAAGTTAAGAAGAACATTTAAATAACTAAAACTTCTAGAACAGAGTGTCCCTGTTAATAATAGAGGTACTTGAAATCCCATACAACAGAGAACAGTTATAGGAAGAACAGTCACTCAGCCTGGAGAAGAACAGTCATAGGGAGAAACATGACGAACGTGATTGATCTCTTGAAAGGTGAGCATGTAGGAAAGAGCTTCGACTTTTCCGTTTGTTTCCAGGTGGTAGAACTAGGACCAACAGATGGAAGCAACAAGAAAAGACACATTATTGGGGCTCCTGGGTGGCTCAGATGATTAAATGTCTGCCTTCAGCTCAGGTCATGATCCCAGGGTCCTGGGATCGAGCCCCGCATCGGGCTCCCTGCTCCGCGGGGCGTCTGCTTCTCCCTCTCCCACTCCCCCTGCTTGTGTTCCTGCTCTTGCTATCTCTCTCTCTCTCTCTGTCAAATAAATAAGTAAAACCTTAAAAAAAAAGAGAAGACACATTATTGATACAGTAGGAGCTTAATATAAGGAAGTACTCCTAATAGAATTATCTACAGATGGAATAGGTTGCCCTGAAAAATGATGAATTCTCCTTCATGGTAAGTGGTCAAGCAGTCTGGATGGCCACTTGTCATGGATGCCAGAGATGGGATGTATACAGCAATGGATGAACCCTCAAGATCGGTCTACTCCAACCCTCAGATTTTGTGGTTCTAAGAAAAATAAAGGAGGATATGGGAAAGTGCTTTCCTGAAGAGACAAAATCTGCCTTAACTTCAAACTTCTGCTTAAAGTAGAGTACTACTGCTTCTCTGGAGAAGGACAGAAATCTTCTAAGTAACACAGAAGGTCTTCATTTTAAAAATGATGGGAGAAAATATTAAAAAGAGGTGTAAGGCAGGAGGGAAGAGAGGCAGCTGGGAGAACCATAAGGATTTAATCTGAAAAGAGCTGGGAGGTCCAGAGCCCTCTGCTTCAAGTTGGCGATGCTTCCTTGCTGCTCCCTCCTTCCCTTCTCTCTGCTCGGTTCCTTTCATGTGTAATCATCCGCCCGCCCCCAAATCCCTGCCACCGCCTCCAGCCATCCCACCATCCTGAACTTTCTAACAGTGAATGAACAGCTTTAATGGGAAATTCTCAAGGACCATAGGCAGCCTTTGTTTGAAAATGGGAACCTAGATCTACTTCCTTGCACTGTTTTCACAATATATCCTTGCAATAGTGGACATCTACAGAATAGTCAGGCCAGCACCTCTTCTGTTGAGAACTGCCCCACCCAATTTTTTAAAACACTGGAGCCAACACATTAGTACAATATGATACCACCTGTAGGCAGTTGGTTGATTGGGCACCTCACCAAATGGATCCAAATGGTATTCTGTCTCTTTGCCCCAGTCAATCTGATCCAAGCTAGACCTAGCAGAGTTTTTCTCCAGGATTTGGGAATTAGAACTGAAAAAGTCAAGTCTCTCTCTGTGTGGTTGAAGCTCTAAGACAGAAAGCTAGCATATCAGGGACAGTCTGTCATTTGGAGAAAGTCAATCTGCAGTGATAAAAAAGAAGGAAGCTACCATTCAGGGAAACACAGAAGCAAAATGGAGAAGAGAAGTTCTGATACTGGGTGTATGACCCTACCGCCAGGAATTTTTTACACTTAGTTATATCTCAACCTTTCTTGAATATTGGCATTTCCCTTTGCTTTTCATTCTTTGAGATACCCAGTATCACTTAGAATAAATTCCTTTTTTTTTACACCTAAATAATTCTGAGTTGGGTTTATTACTTAACAACCCAAAGTCCTGAATCCAGAAAGTAAGCCTCACGGCCCCTACAGTCAAAGTGGCTGCTACAGGACCTCCGTGCCACACCCTCTCCCACGAAGAGCCTTTTTGTCAGTGAAGATTGGCCCTTGGGCCAATTAGAAGATCACACCTAAAATTCGAGAAAGAGAATGTGGTGGGCAAGGGCACAAGCTGACGAGCTACTTTTCTTGATTGATTAGAGAATTACTGGAAGCTTTCCTAAGGTAAAGTACGACATACAGATTCTTAAAAACAAAAAGGAATTGTCATGTTTTATGAAGGAGATACTTTTTTTTTCTGCTAAAGAACTAATTTTTATACCCACATGCACTGTTCACTCTGCCAAATTTTTCTGCCTTCATGTAGTTTTGGCTTGAAATACAGAGCATGTGGCTGAGGAGGACAGTAACTAGGGAAGTTGAGAGATTTGTGACACCCATATCAACATGCTTTATCCTGCTTACTTTTCAAGAAGCAGACTGACACATCCAGTCTACTCCCTAGATGAATGGAAACTAATTCTAATGTGTATGTAGCATTAATAGCAGTTCTTATCCCTGAAAAGACAGTAAAGCCACCATTCTGGCTTTAAGTTTTGACCAATATCAAGCCAACTGGAGAACTCTTCGGAAAAGGCATGAAAACCAATGCAAGACCTCCCAAAACAAGGTGGTATGAACTATATGGCAGTCCTCAGTTTGTTTCTCAAAATTGTTATTTCTAAAAGTTGTGAATTTGGTTTTAATTATCCTACGTAGGAAAATGTTAACTTGGATGTTTATGGACTTTTGTTGATATTGATATAAGTAAAAATAGTCAAAATTTGTCAAAAGCTTACTATGTACTAGCCACTCTGTTAAGAATAAATGTATGTATAAAGAACTTTTTAAACTCAACACCCAAAGAACAAATGATCCAATCAAGAAATGGGCAGAAGACATGAACAGACATTTTTCCAAAGAAGACATCCAAATGGCCA